TTTAAACAATATATCAGTAATTTAAACTCCCATTCATTAATTTCAGTAAAACATTTACACACATATATGGAGGACAAGAAATGGCGTTGAAGCCGCGTTGATAAGCAATTGAGGAGGGCCCACAATGCGATGGTGGCTAATATCACGAGTCAACTGCCTTTGGCCACTCACTGTGGACTCGTGAGCACAGGCTTCCCCGGGGCCATGGATGAATGATCCCCGTTCTGGAAGCAACAGTGTGAATGAAACTGAAAGATATTTGTGGGGTTTGCGATGCTCGCTTCTATGGCAGGCGTAGATATTTGAGTGAACGAAGGAGACCTTCGAATAGGAAGCAGGAAAGGGAAAATGGGGGTGACGAAAGGCAGAACACAATAGTCAAGTTGAAGCAACAAGCGTGTCAGCTAAAACAGGCAATTAGAAGCAGTGCACGGAGTGGAGAACATTAAAATGAAATGGAGATTCCATATCGAAACAATGATGATGCTTCATTGCTCAGAGTGCGCGGGACCCACTTCCTTTGACGCGTTTCCAGCTGTTCCCTCTGTCCTCACTCTCTTCACATGTCTCCCCATTCTGCTCCTTCACCCACGCCCAGTTAATCCTCTTTCCCTCCCATTAATTAATGACCCTCCTATGCTCATGTGACTGCTGCTCCTTTGGTTCTATTCTTCACTATTCATAATTACTCGTTCTGGTTGCCTTAACAAAAAAAAAAAAAAAAAACCAAGACTACACCTCATGTGTATGGATATATTTTAAAAAAAATCACAGCACAAAATTAAATAATTACTAAAACTTAAGAATATGTTCATAAATAATATCAAAATTTACCATTTCAAAAATAATAATAAATTTAAACAATTACATCCGCGTCTCCCGTAAATTGATAAACATAACTAGCAAGCCACGTCCTAAGTCCAGTTACAACAATAGGGTAAGCTCACCTCGGAAGTCCTGCTTGGTTACTAGGGAAAAAAATGAAATAAAATAGATTAAAAAAACAAAAATAAAAATAATATGATTAAAAGGAATGGTCAACCACATTCATGAGGGAGAGAAATATTTTAATTTATAGAGTTAAAAATATAATTTATAAAATTTTTAAAGAGTATAATAATTCCTACATGTACATCATGCTTGTCATGAGAAGAAAAGGTGATTTGATTTCTTTTTATATTTATTTTTTAATTCATTTCATTCCATTCGTTTTTAGTAACCAAGCGAGACCTTAATGTGTGTTTGGATTAAAAAAGTTTATAATTGATGTTAAAATTTAACTGAAATTAGCAAATTGAGGTTAAAAAAATCAATGAATGTAACATAATTTATGTTTGGATATATTTTTTTAAAAAAAATTAATTAGATAAACTAAAATTCGTTTAGATGATTTGATTCAAAAGTCAGTTGAGATGTTTAATAATAAAACTAAACATGAATCTTCTTGTATATATTTTTTTGACTAATTAATAAGTAAAAAATATTAAACTTAAAATTACAATTAATAAATACAAATTTTTAGATATTCAATTATAAAAAACTAAAATAAATTTATAAATTATAAAATATTCAATTGACATGAATATATAAGAAAAATTGATATGAATAGACAAGAAAAACTAAAATATTAAACTTATGATCTATAAGTCAGTGGAACAAAAATTGATATGAATAGACAAGAAAAATCATAAATTAATATACATGGGTTAAGCTATGTTCTAAACTTATTTTCTTCCATGCCTATTTTCTTATTTATTCTCATTCAATCAGCAGTCAACTCAACATATCAAACCGTCTCCAAATTTTTCAATAAAGAAAAGAATCTTAACATGATTGAAACAAATCTAGCATTGAGGGAAGACTTGAGTCTTCACAAGGTTCACTTATCGTGGCTGTGCAAGTCAAAAAGTCACCCCAGGAGTAGTGCTAAGTAAAATTGGGAAGGAGTGTGGAAGGAAGTAAATGGACCCTTGTGCTGAAGCATTAAATGCTCCCCAATGTCCATTAGCTCGTTGTAAAAGCTACCCTAACCAACTTTGTGAAAAAACACTCATTTAGACCTAGCTGTAGTTGAATATTTTTTATTACCCAAGCATGATCATTTAAGCTGTTAAGTCCTTATTTGGTATAAAGAAATGAGGAAGTGGGATTGACATTAGTACAAACTAATCTCAAGTTTTTATATTTGGTATGAGGGAATAAGAATTTTAATCTCAAACCTAAACCCATCTAAATGGATTACCCAATACCACCCACCCTCTGGTACTGAAAAATCAATTTTGAGATTGATTTTTTTTTTTGATAAAAATGCCCTCCATCTCTCTTGTCTCCATCATCTCTCTCTTTACCCTTCACCCCTCGCCTCTCACATCTCCGCCACTGCCCTCTGCCAGCCTCCTTCATCGTGCTTCCGATAGTCACACAAAGGCATAATGGTGATGCTGGAATTAAGAAGATGAAGAAGAAAGGTGACACAAGCGAAGTTTAATAGAGTAGATCTGGAGATATGGAGTTGTGAGCCTGAATCTTTCACCCAGATCTGGACTACTCGTTAGCCATATCGATGATGCGGAGACTCGAGTAAATGATTGTTGCAGCGATGATGAGCCCAAAAGTGTAGGTGTGAGAGAGAGATTGTGGGCATGAGGAACAAAGCTAAGAAGGAGGAAGATGGAGCAGAGGCAAGTTGAAGCTAAGAAGGAGGAAGCTGAGGATAGTTGGGTCTTTTAACTAATTTTTGTTGCTTATTATTATTTTTTAATTTCACATACCAAACATAAATTTAAATCCTTATTTTCAGTTCCAATCCCATTACCAATCCCACAAAATTCAATACTTTGTACCAAATAGGGCTTAATATCTCAACTTAAGTTTAGACCATCTCAACCTAGGTTAGGATATTATCCAAGCACACACTTTAGTTTTTGAAATAAATATGTTGCATAAAAACTAAACAAGAATAACCCTTGATGAAAAAATTAATCTCATAAGCTGACATCCTTTCTTCTAATTGTTTGATGTTTGATTTTGATTTCTTGTGATAAAATTCAAGGGGTGTAGTATTCTCAAGAAATAATAGTTTGGCAAGACATTAAACTCTTGAGGTGTTTGAAATGTAAGTTAAATATTTGAGAAAACAAATGTCTATGGATCCAATCGATATGTACAAGTAATTTAAGAAATATGATAATAAAAGATGAATTGGATTAAAGTTTGGATACTTATTGAAAAAGTACTTACATTTAATTTTTTTAATCGAGCCTCAAACATGATTATAACCTAAGAAGCATGGACATGCCAAAAATGGCGACATGTTCGTGTTGGACACATATTTGATGCAGATGCACATCCTGAATGTGGATGCGGCACATCCCTTTTTTTAATTTTTTTGTCGATACATTCAAACACGAGTGAGAATAGGTGAACATAGGCAAGAATGAGTGGACATGGGTAAGACGCAAAACACATCATTTTGGATTTTTTTTCTTTCAAAATTAGATGCCATGCTTCGTCAATTGTCTCATTCCTATATCCCTCACATTGCGATCTCACTTGAGTTACATCACTCTCATCACTCTGTCTTTGACGGTCTCACCCAGTGACCATGAAACTACCACTGTCCTTCCCCCCAGCCTATGGCTTTATCACCATTGCTAGTCTAATGGTCCTTCTCTATGGCTCCGTCTAGAGTCGGTAATTCGGGCCAAGCCTGACGGGTTAGCCTGAATTGACCCGAAAAATTTTAGGACCGAGCTTAAAAAAAGGATGTTTTTTATGTTCGGGCCTATTCGGGCGAAAAAATTTGGGCCAAGTCCGAACCGTTCGGGCTTGGCCCGAATATCCGAATAAAAAATTTATATTTTTAAAAAATATATAAAATATAATAAATATTAATTAATTCTTTAAGTTTTAGATCATTTTATACTAAAATACCATATATTTGAGTCCTAGACATCGTTTAAGTATTAAAAAATATTTTATATTTTTTATAAAATAAAATAATTAATTTCAAAGTAAAAAATAATTAAAAATAATTTTAAAAATTAAATTTGGGTATTCAGGCCGCCCGAAACTCGAAAGAATTTGAGTCGGGCTTGACTATTCGAGCTTTTCAAGGAGTTGGGCATGTTCGGGTTCGGGCCTATTGGGGCCGGCCCGCCGGAATTCCAAGCTCTAGCTCCGTCAACTCGCATCGCTCAGCCAGTTAACTCGCATCGTGCAGTCGCTTTATTTCTCCTCCTCCTTCGGCTTGTCTCTTCTCTTTCGTCCTCCTTTTCTTTCATGGCTTAGCCATTCATATCACAAAGTCAGCTTGTAAACTTGCCTTATTTGTGCTAATGACTATGCTTTCTGAAACTTTAAGTGAACTGTGGAGACTCAAACGAAATTTGGATAATTTAGATAAATTATTTATTAATTAAATCATTTACATCATGGCATGCTCCCATAGACACACCGTTTTTTGTTTATTTTAATTCTTTATTAGCTCTTCTCGTATTAAAATTGCAATAAATTATTTACAATTTTTTAGTATAAATTAATTTGACAATGGCTTCTAATTTTAGACAAAGTAGTAGCTTTTTAAAAATATGTGTGTATTTAAATGTTTAATATTTAATTATTTATATAACCATATTCATATTTTAAAATTTTTAAAAATTGATGTATTAATATATCTTGCGGTATGATATCTGATATTCATGTTGGTATTGATGCTTCATAGATTACAACTAATAAAACCAAACCCCACACGCAGTTTAAAAAAAAAGAACCCAAATCCGAGTTAAAAGCCATTTCCTAGAACTATTATTTAAAGGGAGGAAGCAGGAATGCAGGAGGTCCCAGTAAATGAGGGAATTTTGAAATTGATTAGATGACTAGAGGGGGGCAGCGAGGACAGGTTACAAGCGCGAGTAACGGCACCGACTGGGACGATGAGTGGGGTAATGGTATTTTACGTAATTAAAGCCCGATGAGGCCCCATTTAATTAGTGTAGTTGATTATAAACACGACAAAAGGATCTCTCAAAAATCTCTTTTGAAATCTCGCGACCTTTCTCTCATTATTTAAGCCGTTAGTTTAACCCCTGTATCCTCCCAACCTTCCCCTCTCTCCAGGCCCAGCCATGGCTTCCACGGCCCCCTCTTCCTCCCTGCTTCTTCTTCTCCTACTCTGTCTCTCGGCAACTATGGCCAAGAAGACTTACATTGTTCACATGAAACGCCATGACAGGCCTTCCGTCTACCCTACTGCCCATGATTGGTACTCTGCCAATCTCCAATCTCTTTCCTCTTCTTCTCAACCTGATTCTCTGCTTTATGCTTATACTTCTGCTTACAATGGCTTCGCTGCTTCCCTCGACCCCTCTGAAGCCGAGGCTCTCCGCAGATCCGATTCCGTTCTTGATGTGTACGAAGACACTGTCTATACACTTCACACCACTCGAACCCCGGAGTTCCTGGGTCTTGAAACCCAATCTGGCCAGTGGGAAGGCCATAACACTCTGGCACTTGAACAGGCTTCCCACGATGTTATCATTGGCATTCTCGACACTGGGGTGTGGCCCGAATCCAAGAGCTTCGATGACACAGGAATGCCCGAGATCCCCACACGGTGGCGCGGAGAGTGTGAATCCGGTCCTGATTTCAACAAATCGTTCTGCAACAAGAAGCTCATTGGGGCTCGCAGCTTCTCCAGGGGCTTTCACATGGCTTCCGGTGGCAGTTACATGAGGAAAGAAAAAGAAGAGGTGTCGCCCCGTGACCGGGACGGACATGGCACTCACACCGCAAGTACAGCCGCTGGGTCCCCCGTCGCTAATGCCAGCCTCCTCGGTTATGCCAGCGGAACAGCCCGTGGGATGGCCCCGCAAGCGCGTGTCGCTGCATACAAGGTTTGCTGGAGTACCGGGTGCTTTGCGTCCGACATACTCGCGGGCATGGATCGGGCCATCCAGGATGGAGTGGATGTGCTCTCGCTCTCTCTCGGCGGTGGTTCCGCTCCTTATTACCGCGACACCATCGCAATCGGAGCATTCGCAGCGATGGAGAGAGGCATCTTCGTCTCGTGCTCCGCCGGGAATAGCGGACCCGCCAAGGCGTCGGTGGCCAACGTGGCTCCGTGGATCATGACCGTCGGTGCTGGTACTCTGGACCGGGATTTCCCGGCTTACGTTTCTCTGGGGAACAACAAACGCTTTAATGGCGTTTCACTCTACAGTGGGAAAGGAATGGGTGACCGACCCGTGAGTTTGGTTTACAACAAGGGGTCGAATAGCTCGACCACTATGTGCATGCCCGGCTCTCTCGACCCAGCCGTGGTTCGTGGGAAAGTGGTGATTTGCGACAGGGGGATCAACGCACGCGTGGAGAAGGGAGCGGTGGTGCGCGACGCCGGAGGAGTTGGAATGATCCTGGCGAACACTGCGGCGAGCGGCGAGGAGCTAGTGGCGGACAGTCACCTTCTACCGGCTTTGGCGGTGGGGAGAAAAGTGGGTGATGAGATCAGGGAGCATGTACGGTCGGATCCAAACCCAACGGCTATATTGAGCTTCGGTGGGACCGTGTTGAACGTGACGCCGTCGCCTGTGGTGGCAGCGTTCAGTTCAAGGGGGCCCAATCTAGTGACTCCCCAGATTTTGAAGCCCGATGTGATTGGGCCAGGTGTTAACATCTTAGCGGGCTGGTCCGAGGCCATTGGGCCCTCTGGATTGTCTCAGGACGCTCGTCAGACCAAGTTCAATATCATGTCAGGTATTTTTAACTCTTACTGTTCACTCCTTATTCTTGCGTAATTTTTATACCAAAATTTATTTTCAGTATTGTGTACATTCGGAACATGTATCCTCTATTTCTACGCTGCTCGGGTCAAGAAAAATACAAGCTTGTCCTATAAATAATGGGTTTTTATAAACCACTGAGGTTTTAGATACTCGGTACATGCATTGCGCAGAAATGGATCATCCTCTCATTCCTGGTCAAAGTCATCATACTTTTTTAAGCGATATATTCTTTTTATACGCTAATCATTTTTATTTTTGCTTCATAAGAAAATGCTTGAATTTTGCATTTCTCTGTCGACAACTCAATTGTACGATGGATTCTATTATTTTACGCAGTGCACAAATAAACAAATTCTAATATCACTTTTTAACAAATAGTTTTGTAATTATAATTTTTATTTTTTAATTAATTAGTTTTAATTTTTACCATCACAACAAAAATTTTATTTGCCTAAACCTCTTAACTTCAATTTCTCCATTTTTCATGTTGAACAAGATAAAACATGGCCATGGCCTAGTGAATATTTCAGGTTTAGGATTTTGGAAAAGGAAATGATTTTAATTATTTATTTTTAATTCAATCCTACCGATTTTTTGGGTCGGTAATTTGTTTTTGTCATTGGTTAGGAGAGGTAAAAAAAAAAAATCTTGCGTTTCTCCACTTCAAAGTTCTTCGATGCTGAATTTGGGTTCTTGGGTTATTACAGGAACGTCCATGTCTTGTCCACACATAAGTGGGTTGGCCGGATTGCTGAAGGCCGCTCACCCTGACTGGAGCCCAAGCGCAATCAAGTCGGCGCTAATGACCACCGCATATACGCACGACAACACCAATTCCCCTATCAGAGACGCCGCCGGCGGGTCCTTCTCCACCCCAATGGCTCACGGCGCCGGCCACGTCAACCCCCAGAAAGCCCTCTCTCCCGGACTAGTGTATGACGCTTCCGCCTCCGACTACATTGCATTCTTGTGTTCGCTACGGTACGGCCCCGAACAGATCCAACTCATCGTGAAGCGCCCCAAGGTTAACTGCTCCAGGAAATTTTCCGATCCGGGTCAGCTCAATTACCCATCTTTCTCCATCGTGTTTGGGAGTAAGAGGGTGGTTCGGTATTCCCGCATTTTGACCAATGTCGGGGAAGCGGGATCCGTCTATAACGTGGCGGTGACCGGACCGTCATCCTTGGTCGGAGTGACAGTGAAACCCACGAAGCTGGTGTTTAAGAAGGTCGGGGATAAGCAGAGGTACACAGTGACTTTTGTATCAAAGAAGGGTGCTGATAGTTCAATTAGGTCTGAGTTTGGAAGCATTGTGTGGAGCAACGAGAAGTACCAAGTTGGGAGCCCTGTTGCTTTTGCTTGGACAGAGTTAGATTCGTGAAGTCGTGTTTGTGGGTCTTAGATTGCCACTACTTCGAGCCTAACAGTGCTTGCCCTTAGTAAGAAAAAAACAAAAAAAGAGAGCGAGCTTTCAGAAGATATAAGTAGGACAAGTGGCGGTGGTGTGGATTTGAGATTATGAAAAGAGGTGATTTGGAAAAGGATGAAACATAGTGTTTTTCTGTGTTGTGTATCCCAGTTAAACGGATTTAACAAATAGAGGTGACTCTTACAATTTATAACTTGGCGAAATACAGCTTCCTGCCATGTAGCAAATATCCTTGTCAAGGATTTAATTAAATCTCTCCCTGTTTCAGATTCCATCAAGTTCTCTTTCCTATTCCCTATGAAGGTGGCTAACCCCCCTCTTGCTCCTTTCGTTAGATTGCTGAGTCAAAAGAAAGTTCAAGCACAAAAATTCGTGCAAGTTATGACTTAATTGTTGCTCGGAGTGTTGAATGTTATGATTTAAGTATTGCTCTGGGTGTTGAATGCTTGGCTATCATGGAACTTAACAGATAAGCAGGTTCAGTTTGCGTGCGACAACGGTAGAAATTTGTAAGTTTTTTAAATTTGTGACTTAGAACTCGTCCATTTGCATAGTCTCATTTTTGAAGTCTTTTCAAACTCATCAAAGTTAGATATTGACATGCATATGTAATTCCTCCTTTCAATTTAACAGACATGGGTTTATATTTCATATTGATGATTATTGATGCTTGTACTCAACGCAACACAATTGAAAAGACTTGTCCTGCGTGCCGTGCTCTGTTTTCGCAGAAAAAAGTAGTCGTTGGTGGGGGTGACTCATTTTGTTGCCATTTGATCATTTCGAATCTCTGAATTTTCTGTAGGCCCACATCGCTTGCAGCTTTCAAAAGGAAAAAAGAAAAAAGGAAAACACTTTAACTTTCGCTTTGTCCTCAGCGAACTGCCAGAGTTAGCAGGGATTGATTGGTAGTATTATAAAATAGCCACTTTTTTAACCGTTGTAATCCCACTTTCGACTTGCGAATTGGAAGTTTGGAATGGTCAGGATGATAAAAGACAAGGGTCTAAAATGGAGCAACTAAATTTGCTCAAGTAATTTTTTTTTAATCCCATATCTAACCAGGAAACAGGGAAAACATAAAATAAATATCCACATCTCCAAATAATCTAGCATTTTTATAAATCTTCAAATTTTATTTGATCATTTATAAATGCATTTTTTTAATACAAAGCATTTACTTTCTTTGACATAGCTAAGGTCCAGAGAAATATACAACGAGGACTTCAACATGTACATGAAGATATATTTTTACACATAAGCATGCCTAACAGTCCCTCAAGGACATCCGATGAAATTGGAACATATAGAGAAGATTAGCATGGCCCATGATAAGCATGCCTAAAATTTCATTTTAAGATCAGATAATATTAAACGTTGCAAAATTATTATTATTATTATTATTATTATTATTCAAAACTCTCCAATATCTTGAATTCGTTTTTTTTTTTTTTTACTTGGTTTGATGTTTCATTGCTCAACACACTGTCATTCTCGGGCACGTGCATGTACAGAAACAGTTCTTCCAACAGGACCTTGACACGAAGCAACAACATGAGCTTACCCCAGGACAGCTAGGACACGAGCAAGTGCAAGAACATTTGCAAGTGCAGCACGAGGGGCTGGAAGGACTGTCAAATTTGCAGCAACGTGGGATGACACAACAATTTTGGCAGGCACAGCTGTGTTTACAGCAATTTGATTTGGGGCAAGAGAAGCAACGCCACTTTGGCAAGACGCAAATGTTACATGTTGGAAGACAATTGCATTCGCATAATTTGCAGCATCCGCAGCATCTTTCTGGTAATTTTAGATGAACATTGCACCCTTCACGGCAGTAACAGCAGATCCAACACAAGTTGAAATTGGGCATCCGACTGCAAGGAACAAAAGTTATGTTGAAGTCACACTCATTTAACCTATTATCATTCATCAAAACTACATCACACTCTTCAGAGATAGGATCCTTCTTTTAAAATGATTGTTTCAAGGCATACATTGTTCTCTAAAACATTCTGTGTATCTACTTGCTTTGCTTTGATAAGCATTCTGTTATATCTGAAGCCTGTACTTCCTTTACATTCATCAGTTCCCTTTTGTTGAACCAAGACAATGTCTAAACCTCGGGGTCACAATTCAGAACACGCGCACAAAGATAATGCGTTAAGATATTGAGTAACAGGGCAAGGAAATGGTACCAGAGCCACTTCCAGAAGCGGCGATGTAACCGATGGTTCTTCTTGTTTCTGCGTTAATGAGAAAGAGGGTGAGAATTGTGATCTCTTTTGAACTGCAAGAGAAAAATGATACAAACAATTCTTACGTAGGTAACAGAGGATCCGGGTTTGCTACCACAAAGTCAATTAGCCTGTAATTTTGTCACATTCAATCATTAAGAGACACATATTAGTTAGTCATAATTGAAACAGTAAATTATGTCTAGCTCAGGCACTTAAAACATTTTAAGCAATTTTTCCAGCCTCACAGCTTCATCCTCTAAAATTCATACAACTAACTCCAAAAGTAAACATACTCTTTGCAGCACGTTGAAGAAGGTTGAAGCCCTTCGGTCAATTTTAATTCGTCCTGCCAGAAGCAAAATTGAAATGAATTTGGTTTGACCCCAAACTAAAACCGGAAAGAGTGTTCTTACGAAGTTGAGTCTTGTCAGTTCATAAAATGCATCTCGTAAAGTTTGACATTGAAAATTTTCATCCAAGGATATGTTTTAATCTCTTTAGTTAAACATCATCAAAGATTGTTTATGGCCAATCCATCACTAAGCCCATTTAGCAACCATTCCGCATTAAGCATGGCATTGTTAAAGTTAAACGGGAAAACAATAAGCATTGCATTCTCAACCCTCTTAGATGGTCAAATATCCGAGAAACTTGGCGATCAGAAGCTCAAAGCCACCCCTGTCCTAAACACAGGACAGGGAAGTTCTTAATGACTGGCTAAAAAATCATGCAGAGTGAAAACAATCTTTCTAAGCTTACTAAATGGTCGGTGCTGGCTACGAACAAGCCTCTGCAGCTATAGGAAGATCCCTGTAAGTGGGGTAGCAGTTTCCCATGTATAATTTGCTGTTCGCACAATTTTGGTATTCGCAGAAGGTTATATCACGGGCTTAGAACATCCCGTTTTGTTAAGTATACTAAAGATTCTTTAATAGACATCAGGTGTTGACATTTGAAACTTCGTTCGAAGTTGAGAAAACTCGGGCCACAGATTATCCAATGTTGGGTGAAGAAATACTCTAACAAGTTGAGTTTCACGAGAGATTCAAGTGTGTGGGAAGTTCAGACTCACCTGGAGAACACTCATCTCCTTCTCAAGCATGTGAACCCTAGCGATTTCACGGCGCTTGCCGTGCAAATCCGGGTACTTGGGCGGCGACTTGGGGGAGGGAGGCGGCAGCGACGGACCCAGAGAAGATCGGCCAAGTGGAATAGCCATGACTGAACCCTGAGAAGGAGAAGAGAGAGCAGTGGTGGGAACAGTAGTAATGGGAGTGGCAAAGAAGAAACGGTAAAATCAAGTCAGGTGTGATGAGATACGCATATGGAAAGAGCAGAAGAGAGACAATAATGAAGAGGCAGAAGCAGAAGAAACAAGTAATGGAGGGAAGGGAAGGAAGGTGAAAAGGGTGAAAATGAAGGAGAGAGAATGGGATGCATGAGAATAATGGCGAAGGGTATTAAATTGGAAATGGCAAAGACGGCTGAGAAAAAGCCTGAGAGAGAAAGGTTTGGAGAGAAACGGTTTCAGCGAAGTGGAGGCATTATTGAATTGAATGAAGGGAGATGAGAGAGAGAGAGAGAGAGAGATAAATGTTTGATTAGAGACTGGAGAGTGTTTTGCAGTGAGAGTGCGGGAGGAGAAATGGAAAAGAGCGAAAAGCGGGATCGAGTTCTGAGACCGCACGTGACGGCTTCTGAGGAAAGAGAAATTCTTGTGTTTTGGGCGCCATGTCATATCAATTGAGCCCTGATTTTGAGGAACCATTATTTCTTTACCGCCCACTGCCTTAGAATTTTCTGCGTCTCATTTTTGTTTCACCATGCCGTCCCCATCCCATTATTGTGGGTTAAAAGCCGGTACCCCGGTTGATTGGAGCATGGATCAACAGTTTTGAGCATGCAGCCACAATTAAATTTTTGGTGGAGATATGCCTTTTCAAGAAAGGATCCGCAGGCTATTCATCAGATTAGTCTAACTCCAAACCAAAAAAAAAAAAAAAACAAGTCCTTCAAATTTGATCGAGTGTAATTTAGTTAATTTTAGTTTGATAAAAACTCAATTCCTAGCTTTTGATTGAATAAAACTCGGTCCCCTTATTTTAACTTTCTTACATTCTATAAAATAAAATTATAAAAATTAAATTTATTTCTTTAAATTTATAGACTAATATTTGAAATTGTAAAAACTATAAGAATTGTATTGTATTGAGTTGAACTTTAAAAACTGACTTTAATTCAATTTAAAATTAGAGAAATTCAATTGTAATAAATTAAAATTTATGAACTAAATTATACACAAGGTAAAAGGATAAGGATTAAATAATTAATTTTTAAAAAGAAAACGACTATGGCCGTTTGAACCCTCCAGCGCTCCAGGTTGTGCCACGCACGCTCTGCACTGAGCCAAGTATACCGTTTCAATAGTTTGTCCAAGTCCAATCTTTTATCATGCAACCGATTGCAATTATATAAATATGATAATATATATATATATATATATAATTTTATTATTCAAATGTCATGTGACGCACAGAACCGCATATAATTTTTAATAAAGTCATTGTGGCAAAAAGAATCAAGTAAAATGGTAGTTGTGGGTGGTTTTAAGTCTTGGTTTTGTTCAGGACGAATCATAACTGTTTGCTTGACGTGATTTTAAGGTTGAACGCCATCGAAGCCTTTGAAGTGTCAACATGGAAGCATTAATTTGGACATAATGTGAGGCGCGGCATGACATGGAGTGTCAGGGGCAACGAAAACAATTAGATTAGATTGGGTGGAACAAAATACATACTCTCTCTTATCTTATTTACAAGTTACATTTAAAAAATTTATTTAATTTTATTTATAAATAATGATATAATTTTTTAAATAATATTTAAAATATATTTTTAAAATTATCTTTTATGAAAGAAAAAAATAATGCAATATTATTTTTTAAATTTATTAATGAGATTGATAAAAATAATTTATAAAAAAATTTAAAAAATATAATATATTTTTTAAAAAAAGAAAGAAGGAAAGAGAATCTAAACATTGTACTGAAATAGTAACAACGTGAGGGATTAAAGTCCCTCGACGTTGGACAATGAAGATCTGCAAGGGCCCTTGTCTCATCATCTCTCTGGCTCCCAAGTCAGCCAACCCGACAGCTTGCAAGTTGAGCTTTCTGGGTTCATGTGAGATTTTCAGCTATAGCTTGTTAACCAAACTGACTTTAAATAGTATGTGATGTGGTGGATTAACATATCAGCTTTCCACAATCCAATTTCCGCCAGCATTCCTAGCCTGAAGGCATTCCCTTGGTTTCTTTTTTCTCCTGGTGGACTTTCACAAAACGTTACATTTTAATGCTATTTATGTACAACGTCCTCTGCAAGAATACTGTGTTGAGGATACAGTCGCATCACCAACCTTCAATAATGCTGCCTTTTTTCCTGAAATGATTGCATATAAATCAATTAAATAAATATCTTTTTTTGAGAAATCATGTGTTTTGAAATATAAGGCATTTTATAAAATTTTTAAAGCTAATTAATATCTTTTGACATTAACAAAATCAATACTTGCTACTATCATGTAAAATATCTTATATTTTTAAAGATTAAATTAAAAAAACACATTATATTTGAAGTAGAGGAAATAATTAATGAAAGCATCAACTTTTTTATTAAATACACTTGTCAAACGCGGAGGCCCTTGTGGCCCAATGGCACTTGCACCCCTCCTTAATAAGGAGGATGCATGCTCAATCCTAAGAGTGAGAATTTACTGCAGGTGTGTGTTCCTACTCCTTGGGTATGAGTGTAAATATGGGTGGGTGTGTGAATATTATGAGCAGAGATGAGTACAATCGAATCAAATTGAATTTGATCTATTTAATTATATGGTTTGATTAAGTTTTCTTTTAATAAAAACTTTAATTGATTGGTTTAATTCAGTTTGAGAATTCTTGAACTAAATAAATCAACTAACCAAATTATATATATATATTTTCTTTTTATATTTTTAAAAAGGTGAATAAATTTCCATCTAGGTGAGTAAAAAACATTTTTCTACCACTTACAATAGTAGTATTTTTTTTGGTTTAACGTGGTGTTCCATTTTTTATTTTTACAATTTAGTTTTTAATGCAATGCTGGGTTTTATTAATTTCCTCATGAATTATGGTATAATATTACTATTTTTTGTTAGGGCTTCAACATCAAAAAAAAAAAAAGATAGAAGAATATATGAATAATTAGATTCTATAGACTCAAATCAAAGTTCATGAATCAAATAGACCGATCCAATTAAACCATTATAATTTGATTTGATTAAATATTTTAATTTGATTCGATCCAAATTTTTTGTGCAATTTGGCCGATCAATTTTGGAAAAATTGGAACCGAGTTGACCGAACCGACCAAATGTTCATCCCTAATTATGAGTATTTGTCCCCTACCACAAAATATATGTATACTTGTCAAAGTTGCAACATAATTATACTCTTTTTGTTTAAAAATGTAATCCATTTTTAATCAAATCTCACCCCGAATAAAGTAGTTATTTGTTTTTAAATTAACTCTATCTTTTTATATTTACCCTTATTTAATAGGGTATTTCACTCTAAAAAAAAATATAAAGTGATTTATTCAATAGGGATACTGTTGAAAAAAGACTAAAAGTACTTTATATTTTTAAACATCTAATTTTTTAAAAAATATTTTATAATTTTTAACGGAGGGGGTATATATTATTTACAAACACAAGTAATAATTGCAATTAGATTGTGATTTGTGAGGCTGATTATTCATAACTTATGAATGAGACGTTCTTGTTTAGTTGTTTGATATATATAATTGGTGTAATTTTTGATTAAGTGGAGAAAAGCCAATTCCCAATTTAATCAAGTTATCTAATAGCAGATCTTAACTAACACTGCAAGAAATTTTAAGTTCTTAACTAACATCAAAAAGAAGAACTAGTGGTTTTTTTGATAAATTGTGATCTGACTTGATGACCTTAATTATGAATACATAGTTTGGTATGTTAACTAGTTGTAACGTGTTTGAATTAAGTTGGGAAGTTCTATAGCGATAATGGAGGCAGACACTGCTCAGCATTTTCCGATCCTGTCTTATAAGAAGTAGGCCAAAAGAAGAAGTTACTACCAATTAGCATCCGCACGCATCAAGCCAATTTTTCCATTTATGGAATCATCTTGTCCAATTTAAGTGAAATCAAGTAAGGCGATAAACTAAAACTAAACCAAATTAGTTTTTTACTTGCATTAATATTAAGTTGACCAAAGGTTTTGGAACGTTGCCTACACACCTGAAAATGAAGTTACCCTCGCCCACGTCATTCCATCCGTTATATGGCCGCCACGTGTCTCGGATGTTAGACGAACTTAAAGATAATCAAAAACACGTTTCCTTATAATAACAAAAATGCTTGGTTTATTCATAATTATATTTGGGAGTATCAATATGAGTTATTGTGGTGGTGGGGAGAATGCAACAAAATAGAAATGAGATTTTTTTTGGCCATAAAAATAAGAATAAAATATATATTTAACTTATGAAACATATGATATATATTGCGTCATGAAAATAAGATACGAGGCCTTTTTAATACAAAAAAATGACTTTGTAAAGTTGGAAGTAAAGGTGATAATAGGCCAGGCTCTTAATAGAGTTTTATAGCCTGGCTTATTTTAAGTAGGTTTAGACCTGAGCTATAAAAAAAATCTTATTCAAGTTTTAGGCCTCTAATTTAAAACAAAGATTCAGATCTATTTTGTCAAAACCTAACTCGATCCAACCTATTTTCACCCTTAGTTGCGAGTATATATTTGTCCAAATGTAACTATTATACATTAAGTGGTTAAATCATTACTTTTTATAGGAATAATGAATGGGTTGATTATGTAATTAATTAATAAATCTATGAAAGTTATGATAAATTATTTTTTTTCACGAACTTGCTGATTTAAAGCCTTTGTTATAATCTGGCATGTGTTTTAAACATAGATCAATTTGCAGGATTATTTGACATTTCTTTATTACCTATCAATGGTAACGATATGTGCCACCAGGGTCGCATCGTTTTGGAGCTTGAGAAATGTTATTTTTTGCGAAAGTTCTGATCACCACCGTGAAAACAGATTTGGTTAGGGGGAAAATATTATTTTGCGATTTTTTTTTTCCAGACATGAAAATTATGCAAAATTGGTTGGCGCCTCATTCCCGTTATGAGTTTTGACATGCTTGTTTTATCACAATTTCTTTTCTTTTCATTTTTCAGGAGAATTTACTCGAATTTTCTCATGAAATAAAAAGCCGCGAGAATTTTCGATTATAACCCGCCATCTATAATTAATTTTGAATGAAATTTTCGTGATAATTAAATTCTTCGTTTTTTTCAATTTTCTGTTGGAATTGAACATATTTGACTGTCTCAAATGCTATTTTTCATAATATTTTAAAAATTGTGATGAAATAAAAATTGTATTTTTATTAATAATATTATATTTGTGAACGAAGCCTAAAATATAGTTTTGTTATATTAAGAAATTATTTTTTTATAAATATTTCACTCGTAAAATTAAAGTCCCCTTTTTTTTTTTTGGCAAAAAGTATTCAAGTTAATAAGTCGTGGAGTGTAATTTCAACTTCTTCCAGAAAGAAGACGGAAGAAACAAGAAATACATAGGAGTGGCTCAACAGTTATGTGTCAAAAGGCACAAGGCTAATTCAAAGATTCTCCAAGGAAGCGACTTTTGATTAACCCTGCAGGAATTCAAAAGCTCGCCCGATCGAATCACTTTATTGAAAACCATTAGCTAACTCGTTAGCTTTCTATTATTTTAGGCTTCATATTGCTGACTCAACAAAAGCCTCTTTATCTCGGCACTGCCCTGCCTTTCAATCATATGGCTGCCAATCATAGATTAATATCTTCCTGGCCAAACTAATAGCCAATTATATCCTCTCCCACACGCATACCCTAAGAACTTTTGGCTACTTTCAAGCGCGTGAAGCCACATGTATATACAAACCCATCTATAACTTAGCTTGCTTGTGTCTTAATTACAAGCAACCTCAAGTATTCATGCATTCCTGATCATATTAGTATAAATATTCTCGCTTTCTCCCACGTCAAACCTCGCCAAACCCTTCAACCTAGAGTAGTTACAAGGATCTCTTTTATGATCATCTATTTTGATTTTTTCTTTCAATAGTCAGCTAGGTAGGCCCCAATACTTTGTGCGTGTATATAAAGCCGCACATGATTGTTGGGTTTATTAATTGAAGAAGAGTGATCGAAGAAAGCAGGTTGCCGCAGGTGAGGTTGTAGTGGTAGATTATTGTGACTGTGTGTATGTGTGTATGGCTGCAGGGAAGACGAGCACGATAATGCCCATAATAAGCAAACTGTACTGTTCGTCTTCTCAGAAGGTGTTTGTGGTAAGAAGGAGGCCACATGTGGTGAATGGAGGAGGTTTTGTGGTCACAGATTGCACCTCCCAGAATGTTGTGTTCAGGGTTGATGGCTGTGGAATCCTCGGCGCTAAGGGTGAGTTAATTCTCAGAGATGGAGATGGTGATGCTTTGCTTCTTATGCGTCGAAAGGTATGTACCTGCGCGTGTTTAATTTATATTTTCTCTTGATTACAACTGTTTCTGCAGATAAAGTATATATAAGACATGTAACGTTTTGTATGGAAAAGTGCAGGGAGGGATGGTGGAAGCTCTGAGCATCTATAGAAAGTGGAAAGGCTACACTTTAGACTACGATGGATCGCAGAACCTGGTTTTCAGCTTAAAAGAACCCAATTCCTGTTTGGTGAAGAATAATCTGATTCGAATCTCCACCGAGCCAAGCAAGACCAGAAACAAAGCCTGGGACTTTGAGATCAGAGGCTATTTCCCCGACAAGATTTGCAGCATTGTTGATTCCAAGGGCAACGTAATTGCCCAGGTACATTTAAATAATTTATATATTCACGTTCTTAATTTCCATGATTTTTCTCTGCTTGATAATGTGCACGTATGCATTATATTTTGCAGGTAGGAGTGAGGAAGGAAGTGGAGGAGTTGGTTGGAAGCAAGGATCTTTACAACGTGATAGTGAGACCTGGGATTGATCAAGCTTTTGTTTTTGGAGTGATCGGAGTGTTGGATTACATTTATGGTGAATCCACCTTCTGCTGAATCATCGTGTATTAAAAAAGGATGGGCTTGGAAGTATTCCAGAAAGTGGTTAAGTGTGTTTTCTCCCGAGAGGAAGAGGATTTAACTTAGTTTGACAAGCTTTTGCTAAATAAGGGCAAGAGTTTTGGAGGAAGACAATCGACAATGCAAATACTAGTCTAGGAAACTGCCTTGTACCTAACGACAACTAATTAATTATGTGGCTTCAAATTATCATTTAATTACCATATGCTTATCCTGATTAATCTATATCTTTAGCTAGCTTGTGTTTGGTTTCATCTCTTCTTTCTAACCCGCTGTGATATGAAAATACAAGATATGAAAAATACCAAAAAAAAAAAAAAACTGGAATAACGTTCTTCATACACAGCTAATCAATCTAGTTCTAGCTTCCTTGATTTTATTATTTACAGATAGATCGAGAAAGGGGGAAAACACCAAATAAGGGCTCTAATTGAAATGCTTATTTCGTGAGTGGATCAACTATTTGTATATAAATCTGATGAATTATTACTCTTGTATTTTGAGATTATACAAGTGTGTGTAAATGCAAGAGCATCTCAACTATACATTTAACTTGGTTAAAAGATATCCCTATATCTCAATTCCTAATAAATAGGATTAGTAAAAGGTTTGTTTTTTTTAATACATGAAATTTATGAGTCCATTCACTTTTTAACCCTATTTTATTTAGTATAAAGCGTTTTTATTTATTTATTTATTTTTATATATCAACTCATACTTGACCTTTTAAAGAAATGATATAAATGATTTAGGAAGGATCGTATTCGTTCAGGCCCCATATGAGAAAAAATGACAACGAGATTTCAAAACAACAAAAAGCTCAATATGCACGACTAAATCGCCAAACCTTATATTATGCAATGCTAAACATTCTATTATTCTAGGTTCTCACTATCATATTTTTTTTTTTTTCATTTAGGATCCCTGAATGTGATTCTCCTAGTGATTTGCATACTAGTAACATACACTGTGTTTCAAATTTCACAATGCACATTCATTTTCAGTATGATTTAATTTGGAAAAAACGGTGGAAATATAATTTTAGTTGGTGGAACCAACTACATTAAAGCTTTTCGGTAATTTGTGCATCAGGAAAAATTAGACCACAATTCATGAGAGTGAATTCATATCACTATATTTAAAGATAAATAAGTTAAAGTGTCAAAGGATTAAGGAGTGGCAAAAGTTTATTCAAGAGAGGTGTTGAGAGGCCTATTTGGATCAATATATTTTGAGATACATAAAAGACAAGAATCTTTCTAGCGCATCAAATCAACAAAATTTTTACAGTCAGATATTTGCAACAGGATTACATGGAGGCTCTGTCCAGCCACCTTATTCATGGCTCGAGAGCTCTGCTTTATCACTTGAGTCATATATACTTTTTCTTGAAATGATTTAATATAAATAAAAAAATTCTGGCTTTACATCATGGAATCATCCTCCAACCTTGTCAGATTATTCGTGAATTCATTTGCTATTTATTTATTATTGAGAATCTCTGTACTCAGGCAATCATTAATCAATCGAAGCGACTTGGATCTTCCTCCAATTTGGCCCTCTCTCGAGAGAAATGGAGTCTGTGGATCATAAAATATATATTAAAAAAAGGAAAATCACGCGCTGTCATATTCTTGTGAATTATTGTTCCTCCTTGATTAATGGTTTTTAACTGAAAAGTCTCTCTTTGCTCCATTCAGTTAATCAATAATACTTCCTAGGTTTTCAAATAGTATAAGAAAAACTATCACGTATTTCTTTATTTTTATTTATAAATAAAATTATAAATTTTAAGAAACAATTATTATTTTTTTAAATTGTCTTTCATAAAATCAATGTTTATTTTCACTAGAAAAATTTATTTCATTAATTAGTGCAAGTATTTTAAGTTCAAATATGATTACTATACTTACTCAATTTTTTTAAAAACAGTATCAATTAGTTATTTTTTATATATTTGAAAATTGAGGAGTATTTATCTGCAGTTAAAGTTTTAATCTTTAATGATTTTCTGTTTTCTCAGCTGTAGGTTTTTGTATTTTATTTTTTTCAACATAATAATAATAATTGTCTTCTCATCAAAAAGAAAAAAACATACGCATTTATGAACCCCATTCAAGTTCTGGTGAAGAAAAAAAAAAAGAAAAAAAAGGGCCATTGAAGTGTTCCTGGCTCCCATGAGCAGTTCAGGGAACTTTTACAGCATCAATGGCCTGGCTCCTTCAATCCACACGCACACACAGAGATAGATAGATAATTAGATATATATAGAGAGAGAGAGAGAGAGAGAGACTTGCGAAAAGAAATGGCCACACGATCTGCAAAATGAGCATGAACTTACAATGGAATTGCTTTGTATATGATTCCTAAGCCCGTGTGTGTGTGTGTGTTTTTTTTTTTTTGGGGTCAATACATCAAAGTGAATCCTTCTCATTCAATCAGATAATTTTACACATGGGCTTTGATGCACAAGCCCAACGAGTCCGATCCATCAAGCTGGACTAACCACTAGCCATTACCGTCTAAGTAAATTCATGTCTCAGGCCACCTCACAGGTCACACCACAGGAGGAGCAAAGCAAAGTAGCTGACGGGATTGAATTTAGCGCTTGGGACTCCATCAACTTGTCAAGATTAGTCCCCATCGAGGCATCGATGTCATACTCAAGTTAATCTCTATTCTCCCTCCCTCACAGCAAGCTGGAAATGGTATCATGGTTTGCAATGCTTACCGCCAATGGAGTGTTTACTGTAAAAAGTACAGGCTATGGATATTTAATACCTTCCTATAATATCCACATAATGCTCCAACTTTTCAAATTTATTTTTTTTTTCTTTGGATCATGAGTTTCTATATAAAATGAAAGACATTTTGATACCTTCAAATTTTGAGATGGTGAAATTTTGATTTTTTTAAATGATTTTTCAAAAATAAAATGAAACAAAATTTCACCTTTTCAACACTTTATGATGTCGAATAGAAATATTTCTTATTTTATGTAAAAACTAATTATTCAAAAGAAGAAAATAAACTTAAAAAGACATATTATAAAGGCTTTTGACCTAAGAAGTGCCCACTTCCTATTTGAGACAAGCCATGAAAACCTCCATTGTAATGTCTTCAAAAGCATTTGGAAATGGCGGGGTGCTCAATGAATTCGCTACTTCATTTGGATGGTCTTTCATGGCAGACTTCCCACCAATGCACGGAGAAGTACGTGATCTCAAACCTCTTCGTTTTGTAACTGGTGCCAAGACAAGGAAAAAGATATTCTTCACGTCCCAAGGGAATGTAGATATGCTCAAATTAAGATCATTAACCACAAGGCATTTATCCAATTTCTTCTCCTGCTCACTTAGCGATTGGGTCTCTATATTTTCTTTTGTTTTTTATGGAAATGATCTTTCAGGCCCAATTCATCAAGCCAACGAACCCTTTGATGATCATCTCTTTTGTCTAGAAGTCCAATGCACGCACTTGAATTTAATTCTATTGAGAACAGTGATAACAACTCTATTTGGCTCTCTCCCAGTCATGGCTGGTTGAAGTTAAACGTCGACGGTGCAATCTCAAGATGTTCTTTGAAGGCAGGGCATGGGGGAGATATTTGTGATCACATGGGTCATTGGATTGCGGGATTTATATGCGAATTAGTCTAGTGCCCTCCCCTTAAAGCTGAAGCACACGAGCACGTTAAAAGGGCCTCCAAGTAGTCCAGGGTATGGGTTTACGTAAGGTTATCTTAGAACATCTAAAGGACCTCTACACAACCTGGCTGTTTTAGAAATTCTCAAGTTGCTAAACCTTCCCTGGGAGCTCAAAATCGAGCATGTTTCAACAACTAAGAATCGAGTTGCCCATAGGCTTGCTAAAGAAGCACTTACTGCTGCTTCTCTTCTCGATAGTGTTCCCACTTGTTTGATGACCCTTGTTTCCAATGATTGCAAGGGATCTAAATCTCTAACAGCTAAGTTAATCTAATTCTGGACTTGGCCCTCCTTTATGCCAGGAGGGGAAAAAAAACTCAACATACTCTCTCAAAACTTTTCTTGAGAAGTGTATAATACTTTCTCTTCCCCTGTTTTATAAGATATTTTTTTAGAGTGGTTGGATGTCTAGTATGATATTTTTTTAGGTTTTTTTGGGGAAGAAATTAAGATTTCAAAATGTATTGAATTAATGTAATTGATATTTCACAATTTCAGAAAAAAAATCTTATAAAATACAGTGGAGGTGGTATTATTAAATAAAACTAATAAGTAGATTTATAACTTGACAATTATATTTAATCAAGATTTGAAATTCACATATTTCAATAATGAAAACTATACTCTTTGAACTTAAATTGAATTACATGTAACTTGGCAGATTCTTCTTTTCCTTCTGGCTAGTCTTTATTGGGTGGTGAACTTATATTTGCTCCTTCTGAATCCTATTATAAAGCATTTTTTAAAAGTCTTTTTTAATTTTTAATATAAGGTATAATATAAGATGTTAATTATATTTTTTTAATATTATCTCTATTTAAACTCATTAGTTATGAAAAAGAATATAATATGAATTTGAAATTTTTTTATTTAAATAAAAGTAAAATTAAAAATTTATTATATTTTTAAATAAAGTTAATAACTTAATTTTGATGATATGCTTGAAGGTGATTTAAAATACCAAGTGGATGGAGTATTTTTACTTTTTTAGTTCTTGCGGCAGCCGCTCGTTGGAATGAACAATTTAAAAATGAAAACGACGGAAGCGAGATGATTCGGCGAGTCACCTGATCAGTGTTTCTGTGTGAGAGTTGCAACGTGCTTTTACACATGCATGTCCGTTACCATTTCCCATCAAATGATCAAATACATGACCATGAAAATGAAATCACAACCAATCATTTTTTCGGAGAATGGCGGTAAAGTCTTAAAAGAATGAGGGTAAAATCTTAAAATAATAAATTAATGATAGTTAATCTGATAAAATTTCCTTCAAAAATAAGTTATAAATATTAACTTAAATAATTGTAAATTTAAAAATTTCAATTATAAAAAACATTTAAATTTTAAATATAATAGTAGGTCATAACTAGAAATCTTACTTGTAAATATCTAAATCAAGATTTGCAAGGTAAAATATTTTAGAAAATCCTGTCACTAATTTGGTTATAAGTTTTTTATTCTGATACTTTATTGTGCATTTTTCATCAATTTTTTTAACTTTTATACATAGAGGTTTTAAGAAAATTTTTTACTTGTGAAAAAAAATAGCATTAAGAACTTCATTTTAGTGTAAGTAAGGGAGTTTGGATTTTAATTGGATATAATTGATTATAAAAATAATTAATTAATGTGATTGATTTGAAATATAATTGATTATGTTATGTGGTATATAATTGATTTATAAAATTACTTAATATAATTAATTTTAAGCAGAATTGAAAATAAGATAAAACCATAGTTTTGTAAAAATATATCCAAATGGCTATATTACATGTTAAAATCAATTTTTAATCCAAAATTATGTTTTCAAAAAAAATATCTAAGCACCTATTGTACATGTCAAAATTAATTGTGAACTCAAAATTATAATTTTTTAAAAAATATCCAAATACCCTCGTACATGCTAAAATTAATTTTGAACTCAAAATCATGACCATCTCATAAGTTACTATTATCTGCTTTTTGATTCAATTTTTCAATAATACATTTCAAAAAATTTATTCAAAAAGTATATAAATTATTTTACAAATCATATTTTTTGATTCATAATTGACTTTGACATAATAAGAGATATTTTGGTATTTTTAAAAAAATCATAATTTTAAATTTATAATTAATTTTGACATAATAAGAGGTGTTTTGATATTTTTAAAAAAACCATAATTTTGAGTTTATAATTAATTTTGATATGTATAATGAATGTTTGGATATTTTTTAAAAAATATGATTGTATATTAATAATTTATTTTAATATTTAACATAGGTGTTTGGATAATTTTGGTCAAAACTAGTTTCCGTGCAATTAATTGATTTTAAATTCGAATCCAAACTGGTACTAAGAAGTTGTGGTGCCAGAAACATTTTTATTTTATTTAATAATATATTTTAAAGAGTTTAAAGTAATATTTAATAATATTTTTTTTCTAATATATTCTCATTTACTCCAATGACTTTTTTTTTGGGTCAAAGATTTACTCCAGTGACTTTAAACTAGCATTTATCAAAATTTAGGAGTAAATTAGAGGTAATCGATATATATATATATATATATATAAAATTTGTTCTGAGTTGTCTTCAAGATACTATCTTTAATAACAATTTTGATATAGTTCTCAGAGCTTTTTAAAATTAAACCCAACCTCCTGTAAAATAACTAAAGTGACATAACAGTGTAAATAAATCAGAAAAACAATTGAACTCAAGAAACAGGATGAAAAAGAGAAAGAAAGTTGCCTAAAATCTCAATGACCCAGCACCGTTCTCATGCGCACACACTAGTACAAATAAAACACCATTACTAAGTAAATAAATGACCATCACTCCACCATTCCGACACAATAAAATATTATTGAAGAAGAACGTATCTGGACATTGGAGTAAAACTAATTTGCCTATTAAAATTAATGTAATAATTTAAGAGAGTCCGACTGTTACTTTGTGGTAGGGAATTCAAACTAGAAAAAATGGAAATCAAAGGATTTTTCTTGGAACCTTCGTTTAAATAAATATTCTTTATTTTTGACAAAAGTATTTTCGCAAAAAATGTTAAGACTGCATCTACATCAGGTTTTCAATTGGATTGGCCGATGTTGACTCGTTTTTATGTGCGTGATACCTTTCTTCATCTTGACCCGTTTACTAATCCACTTCTCCCCTCTGGTATGTACACCTAAAGATGAGCACAATCGAATTGAAATTAAAAATTAAATTAAATTAAATTTTTGTTATTTGATTCAGTTTATTCAATTTTTTTTAAAAATTATTTCGGTTGATCAATTTGATTCAGTTTGTAAGATTTAAAATTAAATAGACTAAACCAATTAGATTATCACATATATATAATTTATATTTAGTTTATTAATTACTTTATTTTATTTTATTCTTTTAAATTTTATACTTAAATAAAAGTAAATATATGATTTGATAAGTTAAAAATCTAACCCTTCGTTAAATTAGGCTATTATCACTTTATAAGATAATTTTATATGTAAACCTTGTCTATTGTAGTAGAAAAAGAATTGTTCTAAGTACAAGTAGGCCAATATAAAGCCCAAAACTGAGTCATCCGATTGAACCAAATTGCTAAATTTAGATTTGGTCCTTATTCAATTCAATTACCTTGATTGGTTCAATTTGGTTAATATTTTTAACATTATTTGATCGATCAATTTTACACATTTTTATACCAAATCCACCAATACTCACCCTGCTTTATATCTTTAAAGCTCATATCATATGAGTGATGTGAGACTTATCTTTTGACGTGCTCCCAACACAAAAATTATAACAAAAACATGTATTCAAAAATGAAGGTGTTGTATGCGTACTCCCTCCATTTTCAAATTTAGGAAAATTTTAATCAACTCATCATTTTAAAAAATTATTTAATTTTAATAATTATGTCTAAAATTAAAAAAATTTGTTCTAAAATACTCTTATAATTAATGTTTACTTTTTCCCTCTACTTTATTGATACTATACATTTATGAGGAATAATTTGACAAAAATGTAATTAATATTTGTTTTTGGTGTTTTTCGTGCGTGGGTTTTAGAGTAGTATGTCCTTAAAAGATACCATATTATTGACTTTTAAAATTAAATGGTGAGTTTTCAGGGTCACTTTTTTAGAGTTATTAGTTGCAAATTTTTTCTCTATGTTTCTCTATTTTTGCCTCATCGAGGAAGTGACGTGTGATTATGATCAAGTCTTCCCATGACTTTCTTCCTTCTATATGATCTTAGTGGATTTAGCTAAAATTATTCTTTTCAGCTCAAATAGTTAGAGTTGGGGCAAAAATCATATTTTAGGCCAAATAATATTTTTTTAAATTTTTACATTTGTTTATAATAAAAAAAGTATATGATAGTTTTCTTATATTTGAAAACATGATAGTATATATAGCCTAAAACAATAACAATAAAATAGTGATTTAGATCTATTGAGTAACCTAAGCTTATTACTTAATGAGTATTTAACATGTCATGATAATAACTGTTTAGTTAAACCAAATGGATGTAAGAAGTTTTATCATATAATATTTAAAAAGTATCAAATATTAAAATTTTCAAGGGTTAACACATGTGAGTGATGTTCTAATCATAAAATTTGTTTTTAATTTTTTGAAAAAATATATCTTGATACCCCCTTCAGTCCAAAATATAAATATTATCTCTTAGCTGATCTTAGTTCAAAATATAAACAAATATATGAATTTTTTTCATTTTATCCTTTATATTTATTAACTTTTATATTTATGTAAATATATTTCTCAGATAAATTTGTAGATAAATCGAGTGCACCACATTATTTATGGTTCGTCCAATAAAAATATAACATTTAAATGATATTAAATATAAATTAATTAATAATAATAGAGAGAGAAAATGTAAAAAATTAAATTTTTATTTTGTTATAATAAAAAAATTAATTAAAAAATGTCATATATAAGATTTTATTTATATTACTGATAGTATTTTAATTGGATAGATTATAAATAATGTGATGCATTTAATTTACTTAAATATTTTTCGTATCTCTCATTCTTCATATTATGCATTGATACCTGAAATTAGGGAAAAAAAGAAAAATATATATTTATAAATATAAAAAATTTATCGGTATCTGAATTTCTGTTAGAAACTACTTATATTTTGATTAGGATGGAGCAATTTTAAGACATGAGGCGCTATCAACTGAGTGAAGTCAGGCGCGGAATCCCAATCCCAATGATAGAGCCACGACAATCTTCGTCACTGCCACGTACACGTTTCGCAATTTCAGGTTAGAGGATACGGCTAGGACTATGCCCATACATTGTCGTCTTTATGTGCGCACCTATTTCACTGCCTGAAGTAACCGTTTCCCAATAAGCTCTGATCTCCTCATCTTAACGTTTCCTGCACTTCCGGTTCTTCTAATCTAGTACCGGTAAATGCTAATACTTTGCTCGTGATTTCATTTTATGGTGCTTAGCATTTCAGTTTGATATGATTTCTCAATCGATTTTGTTCCTTGGTCTTGGTGGATGTTCGTAGGAAAATGGGTTCCGATAAGAATGATTATGGCTTTTTGAAGGAGATCGGTCTGGATTCCACCAATATTGGCGGTTTTGTGGACGGCAAATGGAAGGCCAGCGGTTCATCTATCACTTCTGTGAATCCCTCGAACAATATGGTTCGCCTTTTGACGACAACGATCGCGACTGCGACTATTATTGTTTGTTTATTTGCAATCAAAAATCTTCCGACGAAATTCGGTCATTTTACTGCTCCATGCAATGCTTTCTCAATTATTTTTGGAGTGATAGCTTTCTCGGTCATTTAGACGTATATGTTCGTTTTTATGCTGGCATGATTTTGTTTATTTTTTTGGGATGTAGGATTGGGTTTTGATAAGTCGAATCCCGGAATTCTTGTTACTGCCTAAAAACCTGCTTTTTTTTTTTAATTTTCTAATATAATGTTGACGAACAAGGCAAAGTTTTTCAGCATAAAGTTTTATTCATTTTACTTTCGTTTGTTAGCTCGATTAAGAAACGAAAGTAAAATGAATATAAACATCATTCCATAAATTACAGCATAATCCTCGCAAGATTTTTCTTAGGCTTTTTACCTTCGTGCAACTACTTATTGTCAATTGAAATTAGGCCATCGCGAAAGTAATGGAAGCAACCGTGCAAGATTATGAGGAGGGACTGCGTGCTTGTAGTGAAGCAGCTAAGCTATGGATGACTGTAAGTTTTCAAGTAGCCGTAATCTGTTTTGGTACAGTTGAAGTTCTTCATTTACCTGTTCTTGAAACCAAAAATCGTCCTTCAGATACCTGCGCCGAAAAGAGGTGAGATTGTAAGACAGATTGGAGAAGCATTAAGAGCCAAGTTGGATCTTCTGGGTAGGCTGGTGTCACTTGAGATGGGAAAAATACTTGCAGAAGGAATAGGGGAGGTTCAGGTATGAGAATTAGCTTATTTAATTTGCATGTATACTTCATCCTATGATAGAGAGTTTCAGCATTGGGGGAAAAAGAACCCAAACTTTAGTTGGTCTTATATTCTATGGCCTGGATTTAAGGGTTCTATACTAACTACTGAGCAAATAATTCTATGTTCTAGATGTGATGCTGCTATTCAGTTTCTATTACCGTTATTTAATATTCAAAATTGTTCATATATTTTTTTGGCCAAAAAAATTGTTCAATATATCAAACAAAAAAAAAAAAAAACCATGCCCTGTATATGTTTCTTGGTGATGGTCACAGTTTCTAAGTTGCTGTACGCTCTTTGTTTGGTACTTGGAATGTTGGGACATTAAATTGTAAATCTGTAGAGGTTGTAGGGGTTATGATTCAAAGGAAAATCAATATCATTTGCTTGCAAGAAACAAAATGGCGTGGAGAAGAAGCTAAGGATATTCAAGGTTTCAAACTTTGGTATACAGGAAAAGTAAGTGCACGCAATGGAGTAGGCATCATTATAGATAAGGAGTGGAAGAAGAACGTTGTAGCAGTTAGCAGAATTGGAGATAGAATTATTTCTTTAAAAATGATAATTGGACGTGAGACTGTTAATATTATTAGCGCTTATGCACCGCAAGTCGGGACAGAAGCCAGTCTTAAGGAATTATTTTGGGAGGATCTAGAGGGGTTGATTCGACACATACCACAGAGTGAAAAGATTTTTATTGGAGGAGACTTTAATGGGCATGTCGGGAGGGAAGCTGGTCAGTATGCGAGGGTGCATGGTGGTTTTGGTTTTGGAGAGCTAAACAATGAAGGACAAACTCTTCTTGATTTCTCATTGGCGTATGATTTTAAGATTGCCAACACTTGTTTCAAGAAGAGAGATGAGCATCTCATCACTTACAAAAGTGGAGCCTCAAGGTCGCAGATTGATTTTCTTTTGGTTAGGAACACAGATAGAAAACTTTGTAAAAATTGTAAGGTGATACCCGGAGATGCTGTAACGACACAACATAGGGTCCTAGTCCTTGATGTGTGTATTATGAGTAAAATCCAAAAACGTCGACAAGTAGTAACACCAAGGATTAGATGGTGGCAATTAAAAGGTGAGAAGCAAGATATTTTCAAGCGAAATCTTTTGGATAAAGGAATTTGGGATTCTCAGGGAAGTGCTAACATTATATGGGAGGATATGGCTAAAAAGATACGGGAGGTTGCAAAAGTAGTTTTGGGAGAATCGAAAGGTTCTGGTCCGAGAGATAAGGAGTCTTGGTGGTGGAATAATAGTGTACAGGACAAAATCAAGTATAAGAAGAACTGTTTTAAAGCCATACATTTGTGTAACAATGAGGAAAATTGGGAGAGGTACCGTATGGCTAAGAAGGAAACTAAGAGAGCTGTGGGTGAAGCTCGTTCTAAAGCTTTTGAAGAATTTTATAAGAACCTTGAGACGAAGGAAGGAGAGCAAAATATTTATAAGATTGCCAAGAGTAGGGAAAGAAAATCAAGAGATCTAGAACAGGTAAGGTGTATTAAGGATGAAGAGGGAAGAATTTTAGTTACAGATGATGAAATTAAAAATAGATGGGAGACTTATTTTTCTAAACTTTTCAATGATGGAGAGGATTCATCTAGTAACTTGGAGGATTTAGTAACTGGTGAAGGAGAACAAAATTTGTCATTCTATCGAAAAATACGTGATAAGGAGGTAAAGGAAGCTCTTAAGAAAATGGCAAATGGTAGAGCCAACGGACCTGATTGTATATCTATCGAAGCGTGGAAATGTTTAGGTGAAGAAGGGGTGAGATGGTTAACTAAGTTATTTAATGTGATTTTACGGTCCAAGAAAATGCCTGATGAGTGGAGGAGAAGTACATTAATTCCTATTTATAAAAATAAAGGAGATATTCAGAATTGTACTAACTATAGAGGGATTAAACTCATGAGCCACACAATGAAATTGTGGGAGAAAGTAATTGAGCACAGGTTGAGATTGGAGACAAGTATTTCTGAGAATCAATTTGGTTTTATGCCAGGTAGATCAACTACAGAGGCGATTTATCTACTAAGGGGATTAATGGAAAAGTATCGTTGTAAAGATAAAGATCTACACATGGTTTTTATTGATTTGGAAAAAGCTTATGACCGTATACCAAGAGAAGTGCTTTGGAAAGCGTTGGAAAAAAAGGGAGTACGGATTGCTTATATTAAAGCCATACAAGATATGTATGAGGGGGTAAAAACTAGTATAAGAACGCCTAGTGGTCAAACAAAGGATTTTCCTATAAAGATTGGACTACATCAGGGATCATCTCTGAGTCCTTATTTGTTTAACTTGATTTTAAATGTTTTGACGGAACATATTCAAGAGGAAATCCCGAAATGTATGCTCTTCGCGGATGATATAGTTCTTATAGCAGAGACAAGAGAAGAGGTTAATTGCAAACTTGAGTTATGGAGGAGGACATTGGAGTCGAAAGGTTTTCGTCTGAGTAGAAGTAAGACGGAATATTTATATTGTAAATTTGGTAAAGGACTATTCGAAAATAATTTGGAAGTGAAATTGGGAGATCAAATTATACCTCAAGTGGAAAAGTTTAGATATTTGGGAGCCATTATTCAAAATGATGGCGAAATCAGTGGAGATATTTCACATAGAATTCAAGCTGGGTGGTTTAATTGGAGAAAAGCTAAAGGAGTTATTTGTGACCGTAAGGTGCCTAATAAACTTAAAGGAAAGTTTTATCGTACTGCTATCAGACCGGCAATGTTATATAGTAGTGAATGCTGGGCTCTAACGGGACAGCAAGAGCATAAAGTTGGAGTAGCAGAGATGAGAATGTTACGATGGATGTGCGGACATACACGTAAAGATAAAATTCGAAATGAGCACATACGCGAAAAAGTGAGGGTGGCACCTATTGAGGAAAAAATGGTAGAAAATCGGTTGAGATGGTTTGGGCATGTACAAAGAAGACCAAGGGAGGCACCAGTGAGAAGAGTGGAACATATAACTTTGAGTCCGATTAAGAGAGGTAGAGGAAGGCCTAAGAGAACACTCTTGGAAGTTGTTGAACGTGATCTCTTAATTAATAATATTTCTAAAAGCTTAATAAATGATAGAGCACAATGGCGTCTTGCAATCCATGTAGCCGACCCCACCTAGTGGGATAAAGGCTTGTTGTTGTTGTTGTTGTCTAGATGTGATGCTGCTATTCAGTTTCTATTACCGTTATTTAATATTCAAAATTGTTCATATATTTTTTTTGGCCAAAAAAATTGTTCAATATATCAAACAAAAAAAAAAAAAAAACCATGCCCTGTATATGTTTCTTGGTGATGGTCACAGTTTCTAAGTTGCTGTACGCTCTTTGTTTGGGTCATTCAAAAAATATTTGGTTCATGCATAGACTAAGTGCACTCTGAAAGTAATCATGCACCAAGACTATCCAAAAAAGAGAACTGTTAGTGGGAGATATATCATTTGCATAGAGTATACATTTAACCTTTTTTTGTTTTTTGTTTTTTGAGAAAAAGAAGTAAAAGTTTGTAACTATTTGCTCCATCAATTTCAGGAAATTATTGATATGTGTGATTTTGCTGTTGGGCTAAGCCGACAATTGAGTGGATCGATTATACCATCAGAACGTAAGATTTATATGTTATAGCTGCTTGGTTTGATTGCCTTTTCAAATAATCTGTAGTTAGAGTTAAACACTTGTTTGGAAGCTAATTCTTCTCAAGATGTTCATACCTAAACTTTCCTCCTTGTTTGTTACAGGGCCAGATCATATGATGTTTGAGGTGCAGTATTGAAATTATTTTTAGTTATTCGTGTCTGTTCCGTTGTATTATAGGAGATGTAATTACTCATCATAGTGCATGACATTTAACACCGCAGGTGTGGAACCCTCTTGGAATTGTTGGTGTCATCACTGCTTTCAACTTTCCATGTGCTGTCTTAGGTATGATATCTCTGAGAGTACCGATGGGCTTTAAAAATATGTATTATAATACTAACAGCTTCCTAGGGATATTAGTTCTTTATTACACATCACTAGTTTGGGAATGCTAAGGTACTGTGTGGAACTTGATTGAAAATTCTCTTTCTGATAAAGATGTGCCTGAATTCTGTGAACTTATATATTTATATATTAGCTTATTCAGTAGCACAGTTATCTCACTTCATCACATTATGTCCTCTTCAATGCTCATTCTGGAATTGATGGAATTAAATAGCAAAAACGAAGGCAAGATTGCCTTTAGACACAAATTCAGAACGTAAAACAAATTCAATAAAGGCTAGATATCTCCAAAGCCACTTAATGATTTTTGCCCCATTAGTGCTGCCTGCTCCCACTCTTTCAGTCCTTATATGCCTTCCTCATAACTGAACTTCCCCACCTCAATGATGATACAGGTCTCCTTCTTTCTGTCTTAAGCTACACAGAACGGACTGTGTTAATTTGTTTTCTGTTGACGATTTATCTTTATTTAATACAATATTGATATTGATCAGAGATTGCAGATTTGAATATTTGATGAAAATACATTACTGTGCTATTTTAATGCGAACATTGTATACTGGCATATTACACATGATATTCTTGGAAATTTTTCATGTATTGCTTGTAGCTTTACACATCATGTGCTCAACTCTATTCTGAAATTTTTCAGATGCTTTTGCTGTAACTAACAAAGTTTTTTTCACCCTATTGTGCTTTAGGGTGGAATGCCTGTATTGCATTAGTTTGTGGAAATTGCGTTGTGTGGTAAGTCCACTAATCCAGCTCTGAAGATTCTACGTGAATTATCCTCTGATCATGCTATGACAACTCATGCCACTTGTGTCTTTATTTTATTGCTTATCGGTTTTTTTTCTGTTTTCCACTTTGCATCTTTAATTTATAATGTTGTTTTTGAATTTTCAATTCATTGAAGGAAGGGTGCCCCAACAACTCCATTAATAACTATTGCTGTGACAAAGCTGATAGCTGATGTTCTTGAGAGGAACAAATTACCTGGTGCTATATTCACTTCTTTCTGTGGAGGTGCTGAAATTGGTCAAGCAATAGCAAAAGACACACGCATTCCCCTGGTTTCATTTACTGGAAGTACAAAGGTATTTCTGTTACATGGTCCTTGGACATAACTTTTTTCACCAGGTTACACAACCAGACTAATTAATCATGTTATACAATTTTTCACCTGGATGATGCTCGGTTTAGTTGCCATTAGAGTTTGTAAAAAGAAAGGCCATCTGCAATATTTCATTCCCGGTTATACTGTGAAACATGACCTGAGATCATTCAAACTCTGTACATTCCAGTGAGTGCATGCTTGTGTAATGTGCGTTCTAAGGTAGTGTATCGGCTGCTTTCATATTCCACCTCCCCTAAGAAAACATGAGAAACAGAATACATGACATTATGCGGTGACATTGTATAAAATGTTTACTAAGTTCAGTATGATTTCTGGATTTCAATATGCGCTGTCAAGCTGACTGATGAATTCCATATTGCAGGTGGGCTTGTTGGTCCAGCAAACGGTCAATGAAAGATTTGGCAAATGCTTGCTGGAGTTAAGTGGTAACAATGCGATTATAGTCATGGATGATGCAGACATCAAACTAGCTGTGCGCTCTATTTTGTTTGCAGCTGTAGGTACAGCCGGTCAGCGTTGCACAACCTGTCGTAGACTGGTAATACCACTAAAACTTGAATTTTATAATTTGGATGCAATCATAGGAGAAGAAAGGATAAAACTAAAGGAGGTTTTTAATTTTTTGTTTCTTTCTTGGTACTGCAGTTTCTTCATGAGACTATTTATCAAAATGTGGTAGATCAACTAGTTGGACTGTATAAACAAGTCAAAATTGGGGATCCCCTGGAGAAAGGGACACTTGTTGGGCCAGTGCATACCCGTGCTTCAGTGGAAAGCTTTAAGAAGGGTATGTCAACCATAAAATCACAGGTATGTACCGTGTTGTATTGTCATCCTTTTGGTTAAGGTATTATTTGAGTATAATCTTAAAATATCTTTTCAAACTTCTGTTTGAGATAAATTCTAGTCTTTGTGGAGATGTTTTACTTGATATTCTGATCATCAGGGAGGAAAGATCCTGACAGGGGGATCTGTTCTGGAGTCTGAAGGAAATTTTGTAGAACCAACAATTGTTGAGATATCTCCAGATGCTCCTGTAGTTAAGGAAGAGTTGTTTGGTCCAGTTCTGTACGTCATGAAATTTCAGACTCTAGAGGAAGCATTTGCCTTGAACAATTCTGTACCTCAAGGATTGAGTAGCTCAATCTTTACTAGAAGACCTGAAGCTATATTCAGGTGGATTGGGTGAGTGCTTGTAGATTCCTGTGTTTATGTTGTGGTTATCCAGTATAGTAGAATAATCAGGCTTAGGCACTCAAATTTTAACAGAAAATCCCCAGATGTGGCTGGTAATTCTGAGATTGATAGTTGTGAAAATAAATATTTTTCATGCCTATACAGGCCACTGGGCAGTGATTGCGGCATAGTGAATGTAAACATTCCAACAAACGGAGCTGAAATTGGTGGTGCTTTTGGCGGAGAAAAGGCAACTGGTGGTGGTCGTGAAGCCGGAAGTGACTCTTGGAAGCAATACATGCGTCGTTCCACTTGGTAAATTTCGGCCCTCAAATTATAAGCTCTGTTTTACACCTTTCTCCATGTCATTAGGCCGAAAAAGAAGTCTTGTAATGACATTGATAATATCTGCTCTCAACAGTACCATCAATTATGGGAGTGAACTACCATTGGCTCAGGGAATCAACTTTGGCTAGTGAGCCATCCTTCTGAGATGTGAAGGAGGGGGCTGAAGTGCAACTTTCCGGCCAGGAGCGTAGATGATATTAGGAGTATGATATTTTGGCAGCCGCGTTAGCTAAATATATGTAGTATTGAACTATATACATCAAACAGGGTACCCTCGCTTTCCGGCCCCCCTTCCCCCCCCCCCCCCCCCCCCCAAAAAAAAAAAAAAAAGAACAGGGCCCCCTTGCAGCTTTGATGATGTTAAAGATACATTGAGCAGACATTAATAAGCCAGTCAGGTATGGTACTTCTGTTCATACTAGAAGGTGCTTAATTTATGTTTTGGGATGTGGTTCTTGTTAGGATTTCAACAGTTGGCGGAAAATGAGCTTACAGTGAAAGCTTTGAATAGATTTTAAGTACAACTATAAGGTAGTTTGTTTTAGCTTATTTTATAAAAAAATTATTTATTTTTGACAAAAAATTATTTTGTCAGTTTTATGATATTTGTTTAAACTATTAAAAATAATCAAAATCTGAAAAAAAAGAGAGAGCAGATTCTTGATTATTTTAAAAAGTTACTTTGAGTAACTTATAGCTTTTGAAAATAATCTAATGTGATAGATGAGAGTGAATGTTTTAAAGAGATGGCGTACACAAGATATTATAAAATTTTAAAATAATATATTAATAAATTATTTTTATAAAACAAAAATTAAAGAAGATATCATAAAATTTAAAAATAACTAATAATTACTTTTATATTATTGTAACCAAACATAAATTTAATGTTTGCTTTTATAAAATCTTAAAAAAATAAATATCTTTTTATAAAATCTCTAAATTAACTACAAATCAATTCAGGGTCCATTTGATTTTTAGTTAAGAGCTGCAAAAAGGCTTTTGAAATAAATTTTGAATTTAGATGTTGTTTGGTTTTCAATCTTTTTTCAAAAAAATTATTTAAAAAGTTCTTTTTAGAGGTGGTTTAATGTGCTATTGGTCAACTTAAAATGATGGAGCTTTTGAAAAGTGAATTTAAAAAATGAGATATTATTTAATCATATTACCTCAACTTAAATCTTTTATTCTTTTATTTAAAAATAATTCATTCATTAAAAATATAATAATAATAATAATAATTAAATATTAAGTTTTTAGAATTATAAATTAAATAATTAATCATGTTAAAATTTAGCATTAATATATAATAAAAATTATAAATTTTTATCATATTTTTTTATAATTACAAATTAAAAAAGTATAAATAATTAGAGACCTAGTTTTTAGCATTCGGGATCAAATTTTATGTCATTTAAAATTTTTATCACATTTTTTAAGTTTTTTAAATATATTATATTTGTATAATAAAAATTACAGATAATCATAAATCAATGTCTTTTATAATTGTACATTCAATATCATATTTTACCATCATAATTCAAACAATTTTTAATTTATCAAATTGACTTTTGAAAAAAATATATCTAAATATAAATTTCATTACAACAATCAACTTTCATTAAACTAACTTTTGCTAAATAAATTTTCAATAAATAGGCTTTTGATGAAATGAAACCAAACACACACTCAATCTAAGTCATGAAGGAAATTAGGAAAGTTTAACATTTGGAGGGCTAAATACTATTTAGAGAGTTAAACATTGAGACTGAGTTTTTTTTTTTTTTTGAAAAAGGAAAAAATACTTAAGAAATTATCAGTTAGGAGTATCCAATAGTTTAAAGTTAGAAAAACAACAAAAAATACATATAATGTTACCTAAGTTGGTGTAAAAGTAATCAATCCATTAAATTTCTCAAATGTTAACTGTTTAACTAACACGTAAGTAGACGTTGTCCATTTTTTTGGCTGATATGGACTAAAAAAGGTTCAAAAATACCCACGAAATTATTGATCAGAGACATCTAGTAGCCTAAAGTGAGAAGAAGGGTAAGAATACCCATAACATTACTTTAGTAGTTGCAATACTGACCAATTCATCAAATTCCTCAAATGCAAATCATTTAGCTGATACCTAAGTAAAAATTGATCTTTTTTCATTGATGTGGACTAAAAATATTTCTAAGTGAAATTTTGTTAAGGCTAATTAGTCATCATAAGATGATGAGTCTCTACTTGAGGCTTTAGTTTTGACAGTGAGAAAATTTTATTTTAACCAAACAAGTTAAATTGCTTGTTTCTTTAAAATTCTCGTACCATTAAAGCTTTTTCTTGATGTTCTGAATTGATAAAGAAAGCTCCCTATAGCTCAATTTTCTTTCCAACTTCATTTGCAACATTGCATCTTTTTCCAGTCAGCTCAGTGGCTCAAGTTCAATGTCCATTTGAGATGGTTTTAGAAGATTGTGATTAATTGTTGCAAAATTTCTTCAAGAAGCCTTCACTTAAAAAATGTTTGGAATCTTTGTTAAAGGTATCACCAGATGGAAAGAAACTATGTGACATAAATTTTGATAGATTGGTTACTATTATACCTAATGAAGTAACTTTATGATCATTCCTTCCTTTTTTTTCTTGCTTTAGGCTTATAGATGCCCTCAAACGATGACTTTATGAATATCTTTGCCCCCTTTTTAGTACACATTAGTGAAAAAAATTATCAATTTTTGCTTAAATGTTAGTTAAATGGTCAACCTTTGAGGTATTTAACAAATTGGTCATGCTTGCACCAACTAAGGTAATGCTATATGTATTTTTGCCTTTTTTTCTCTCACTTTAGACTACTAGATACTCCTAACCGATAACTTCATAGATATTTTCACTTCTTTGCCCTAGTAGTTTAAAGTGAAAAAAATGATGGAAATAGGTACAACAATGATTAATCCATTAAATCTCTCAAACGTTAGCCATTTAGCTAATACTTAACCAAAAGCTGACTTATTTTAACTGACATAACTTATCCTTGTAGGGTAAAAAAATGTTGAGTCAAATATTCACGTCAAAGGGCAAATGGCTTAGTTTGATAGGTTGTATTTATGTCGCATTACATCTTACACACAAAATCTTCTCCTTAGGTTATATTTAATCTATATTGTCTTTCTCAAAACAACCAAGCCATAATAGCAACGCCTTGTCGAAATTTCATCTTCTTCCTTACATTAAGCTTGTCTAACCAAGTCACCCTCCTTCTACTACTTTTGTTGGTTGACAATAAAGATGATGCTACACTGAAGCCCTCCTTCTTCAATAGACCCATCGATATAATAGTCAAACGATGATGGTTGCAATATCACCTTTCCCTAGTCGCAATTGAAACTATAATCTAAGGTAATCTTTGGATTAACCCAAAAGAGATTATCACATGTTGTAATTTGTAAAAAGAGGATTGTAAGTTTTTATAGTTTAAATTAAGTCAAAATCATTCATTAAACTGTTAACTCAGAGTAAAATAATATTTTAGAAGTATGTCAGAAGAGTGAAAATGTTTAAAATCAATTAAAAACTAATAAATTCTGAAAAATCATAATAGTGCATAGCGGCAAGTGCACATGTGCCGCAACAGCTCCTTGGCGTGGTGCACGTTTTTTACAATAACTTTGCTGTCATTTGACAGCACTTCCAAACAACTTTTGACGTTTCTCATTTTTTCATCCGAATGAGGTAATCTAAATGTCTATGAAAAGCTTTTTTTATAAACTAGCTAATGGCATGTTTCACTTTCAAATTAAGTCACACAAGAAAATTGAACACTCAGATACATTTTCAAACCATTTTCATAATGTTTACCACTGATAAGTGTCGAAAACTCTACATATGTGCTAAAAGTCATTCCTAACACCTAGACCATACTCAATAGACTTAAGACTACCTGTACAACATACTGCATTCACATATACACCACAATATCAAATGTTCACTTCTCAACCCCTTTAATACCAAAATAGTAGTGAGAGGTTTTGGCATTGCATTTTACAATCAATATCCACAATTATAATAAAATCAACAACCTTACACTTGCAATAGTATTTTAACCCTATTAAACACTTGAACAACTTACAAAAGACAACCCCAAGGCCCAAAATACATTCAAGATCATAAACATCAAAAGTACAAGCGTATGCAAAATGTAACCTAGTTGGCAATAACTTAATCATTACACAAGATAAATAAATTCAGGAGGCATTGCAATAAGAATACCCAAATTTCTAAGCCTTTAGAGCCTTTTTCCTTTCTATACCAGAGCTAAAGCTTGTAAAATATTGAAAGAGAGGGGTGGGTCTAACCATTTAGTAATCAAGATACTTCTACCATATGCAATTATATATCAATTGAATACACACACATAAATGGAGTTGATTTCTCAAAATATATACTATTATATGTAACACAAATTTTCATTTCCCAATTTAATTCATTTTTATAATTCTTATCTCAAATCACACAGCACATTGCCATAAAACACACAAACAAGTGACAATAGTCCAATTTATTATCACGACATGCCACAAACTTAATCAAGTGACACGTCAGATAAACACTTATGCATGATCAAAACTTTTTATACCTTTCAACTGAAACCGTGGGCTATAATATCAATTATGATTCCATCTATATGACTAGACTACATAAGCTCACCAATTGTGAGGTGTGACCCAGTGATGTTATTATTGAATAGCACCAAAACAAAAATAATTTTCAAGATTTACAATATAGAGCAATTTGGGTCATCTCCTAAGGTACTAAGAATTTATTCTATTAAATTAGGATTTTTGACAACTAAAACAAAAGTTAATTTAAAACACTAAGAATGGGTTTTGAAACTAAAATTTGAAATATCTAATTAATAAAATCCATACAAGCAAAAGAGATACTTAATGATTAACTAGAATTTAATATGAGAAATGCAATTAGCTACAACTTCCTCCCCTAAGTTGCAATGTTCCTTGTCCAAATTAAAATTTGATTCCTTTTGTTGAGATTCTGCAAGAAAATTCCAACTTAAATTCTTGAATATTTATTCAAAGATTATGTCATTATCTAATTCAAAGTTTACTGACACATCACTTAAAACTTAAAATAAACTTAAGCAACAATTAATCCTGGAATTTTTCTCATATAGAGGAAATTTATCAATCTTTTCCTCTAATTCTCATCTCAAACGTCTAATTAATCAACTAGGAGCTTATGGCATCCCAATATTCAAGAATGATAGCAAAATAAATATATCCAAATCTGTAACATATAAATTTTGCAACAGCCACAGAATAATAGGGAGAATTTGATGAACTTTCAAATCTAAAAATTTCATTAAAGCCTATTAAATTCAATCATAAATCTACAATCAGAAATTTTCAGCTCAAATCCTCTGCAAAACATCAAACT